GAGGGGGGTCAATTTAATGTGGTGACTTCCCTTTTCCATGTGGTAGGTCTTGTAAATGTGTTTCTTAAAATATAATTTTTGGTTACTTTTATTTTCAGGTAGTTCATCCATCATTCCTGATAGGTGGCCAGCACAGCTAATTGCTTCAACTCAGGTATTTTAGTAACAAAGTCATAGGAATTTAATGATGCAGTGGCTTCACTGTACATTTAACAGCCAATTATTTTTTTATTTATTTTGATACCTCTTGCAGATGTTGATGAGTTATGTTTATTTTGCCTCTGTGCTCTACATGGCTGTACATCCACCAAAAAATGATCTAAAATGGAGGGTAATCACAAGAAGTAATCACCATAGAAGCCTTCATCATGTGAGAACTGTATAAGATTTATGCAGTTGTATGATGATGATGTTGGCTAATGTATGATGATGTTGGCTAATGTATGCTGATATATGATGATGTTGGCTAATGTATGCTGATGTATGATGATGTTGGCTAATGTATGCTGATATATGATGATATTACTGATGTGTGCTGATGAAGGATGATGTATGCCAATGTAAGCAATGTATGCCGATGTAGCCGATGTATACTGATATATACTATGCAAAGACAGAAAGTCCAGTGTGGAAGCTCAGGAATACTTACTTCGGGAAGCTATGAACAGCAAAATTAAACATAAAAAACCAATTCAATTAGTCTCACTAAGACAATGAGCAATCCTTGCTTTTTAGTGAAGTCCTTTTGCTCAAACAATGTAACTCCAAGTTCTCATCTTTAATTTATAAGGAAATTTGGAGAAGCTAACAGAGAGAATAACCAATCAGATCTTAGGAGTTTAGTGGTTAATGATAACCTTGAGAGAGGAATTGTTTTCAATTTACAACAGGATCTCTAAATTAAGTACATTGAGAAGTAAATTAAATGGGAAACAGACTCTGTCATACTCAAAATAAAATTTAAGGCAAATCTTTGAAATGAGGATTTTTATTACATTTTTCTCAAATTTTGTTTGATATCTCATTTTGAAGAAGGTGAATATTTTTGAGGGAGAAAGGAATCAAACTATTAGAAGAAAAATTGTATTTTTACCTTAAAGTGCTACTGAGACCAAATTTAGTGTTTACCAGATTTTTCACTTTTTAGAATCCTTACTGGCTACTTATCACTCTCACGAAATTTGGAATGAAAATTTGAAGTGGAAATCTGTTTTTTTAGACTTGTTTTCTTCAATTCAACGTCCACCATTACTCAAACTGCGAAATGGCCGCGCATAAGTCTCTAACACCATATTATCTCCTAAACTTTTAGTGCAGGCTGTTAACTAAGAAATGGATGGAGATTGTTGTACTGGGATAGTTCTAGGAGAGTCTAATTGTCGTTTTGAGGCCGGAAATGGCACTGTAGAGTTGTGTTGTGCAGGATTGAGCAGTTATTCTGTAATACGATTGCCGAAATATCACTACACAGGCCAAACAAAATAGTTACAAAAAGCCAATGGGTGGCATTTGTACACCTACATTGCTAAAACCTCCATCCGAAAGGAGCATCGACATAGATTAGGCATGAAAAAGGATTGCCCCGGGTGCCATTACTAGAATATGGAAAATACATTTCAGCTGGCCATGTCTTCAAGAAACCGCCAAAGGGTGAGTGTTGTTAGTTCATGATTGTTCTGTTGACTCTCACCTCAAGTTTTCTAGACCTTGAGAATATGCAACGATTGAACTTTCTGAGAGTTAAATTTGTTTTGACTTTCTTTGCTATCTATTTATTTATTCTCCAAGACTCATGATCTGCCATGTACGATTTGTACACAAACAAATTTGTTCTGCTGGAATAAAGTCTTACCTTTCCTTCTAAAAACTGCTTTAATTTAGCAATATAGGTTCAATTCATGAATATCAATAGCTCTATATTGCTGTACTAGCAGTATGAAAAATTGTCTACATTCCTAACTCAACCTGGAAGATGAGAAGACAAGCTTTCTGGCAGGCTATCATTCTGTGGTTGATCAATTTGCCCCAAAGATGTAGACCAGCTCTTACTTATACTCTGAAGGTTTAAGAAATTTCATGTAAAGCACAGTACAGGTAGTTAATTTCACTGTATAGGAACAGCAAAGCACCAGTTACTATTTTGTTAAAAACAGAATACTTTCATTGACTAAAAAATTATCAGGAGTAATTATATTTTTGGGGCTGGTCGAATTAGTTCCACCAAGATATGCATAGCATGGCCACACTTATAATTTCAAAGAGGAAAAGTTGAAACATGCACATTTATCTACTTATAGTTATGGTTTACCATATTGTTCTGTTTTCTAATTCTTGGTCCTAGAAACAATTTGGTAGTAGATTACTTATTCTCAATTGTTGTGCTAAATATGGGTTATCAATCCTGCTACTGGCAGATTGAAGGGAAACAAAGGTGGAAAATAAAGGCCAGCCACATCTTTGGGTAACCTACCCAAAGTACAAAAATGTAAAGGAAATGTCATGGCAGGCAAGGGCATTAAATTATGATGAAGTTTTGCTTAGTGCATAGATCAAGCAGATGTATACCAACTTGTATACATGCTTCCCTGTAAAAAAAATGTGCAACATGTGTGTGATTAGACTCCTTTTTTTTGTTTTCTCGATTCATTGTCTTGATGCACTCTGTAATTGATAACCATATCAACAGAAGATATAAAAAAAAGTAGCCAGTGAGCTAAAAAAATAGTATGCCAGGTGCTTTACACTTGATGCTTGACAAGGGGTCAGAAGAGCAAGATATACAAAAGCACTAATGATAACAATGAGTGTTCCAATAATCCCTGTGTAAACAACAACAACAACAACAACAATATTTATTTGTACTCACTCTTGCTCAGAAAAAGTTACAACAAAGAGGATATTAAAAATTATAAGTTAGAGTACTGGCTGCCTGGAATAACCACAGGGGCTAGCAGAGCCAGGCAGCCAAAACAGTGACAACAGTGGTACTTGTACTGACTGACTGAACTGTTATGTTTGTGCTTGTCAGCCTGGATTTTAAGGACTCTGTTGTGAAATGAGAAGCAAAAGAAGACTGCGATTTGTTTATAATGGTGACCTTAAAGTATTCCTTCGGAAATTTTTCTCACTCCATCCATCCATCCATCCATTACTGGTAACCCCACAATGCAGTGGATAAACAAGTGTTCAAATAAGTAAACAAATGAATCACTCAATAGTAATAGTAGAATTGTCTTGCTTCACCAAATGTTTAGAAACATGATCACCTTCTAATAAAATTAATTTAACCTTGGTTAAGATTTATTTCCTCAGATCTAAATTTTGGGAAGCACATTCAAATACAAATAATTTGTAGAAGGCAGACGACCTGGCCAATATGAGGTTAGAGAAGGTGGTGAACTACAGATTTGCAGCAGGCCATGCAACCATTCAAACTGTAGGACCACAATGCTTAATTACTTATTACTGGGAAACTAAGAAAGCCACAAACACTTTGATTTGATTCTCACAGGACAGTTGTGTATAGTTCAACACAAAATTCAGGAGTGAGCAAACTCCCTACTGCTGCTGTTTAGTTGTCTTGAATTGCAAAGGAAATTACAAAAGTACATGTATTCCTGGAGTTCACAGTTTCTGGGTATCACAGTAAGAGTGTAGACAAAATAACTTTTGTTCCCTGAGAATAACAAAAAGTAGTCCTTTGTAAAAGTTTATCAGCATTCTGATTTTTTCCCGAAGATTGAGAGCAGCACAAACACGAGTCCATAGTGATGGACCGGTTAGCTCAATTGGTAGAGCGCGGACTGTTGTGCGGAAGGTCGTGAGTTCAAATCCGGCCAGACTAACACTCAGGGTCTTTAATTAACTGAGAAGAAACTGCTGCCTTTGTAATAATATCTGCAAATGGTTAGACTTTCTAGTCTTCTCGGATAGGGACGATAAATGGAGGTCCCTTCTCCTGCAGGGTTGGGGTAGGAGACGTTAATTTCCCACACACGAGATTACTGTGTGATGATACAAACCTTGCTACCTTTCAAATGTAAATCATTTTGTTATCATGCTAACTAGATACAGGTCTCTATCACAACAAGGTCATCTTTAGCCTCACTGAATCAAAGGCTTGGCAGCTAAGTACACAACTGTAAAATAGCCTATTACGTGTCAGGGCTTACGTTTCAATTTGAATATTAAATATGCGAAGAATGTAAATAGCGCGCGCTTGACTAGATCAAAAAATAACAATAAAATAAGAGACCAAGGAAGAACGTAATTAAAAAGAAAGAGACAATTCTAGATGCTTCAATTGCTGATTAAGAATGGGTTTTTCACAGTCTTAGATTCTGACGCTTCAAAATAACAAATTAAGATCAAAGAGGCGTTGCATATTAAGTGGGAAAAACCCATTCTTAATCAGCAATTGAAGCATCTACAATTATCTCTCCTTTTAATTACGTTGTTCCTTGGTCTCTTATTTTATTTTTATTATTATTATTAGTAGTATTATTATTTTATCTAACTATGGTTGCACGTGGCTTTACTTCTTCGTCGCACGTAGCGCGATATATCCAATATTTCCCAACACTACAACAATCATTCATGAACCCCTCATCGGAAGAAACAGAACCATTAATGTCGTTTAAAATAATGAACAGCGACGATTTTCGAGCAAGATCGCCAACTGACAGAGCTTCGACGAAAGGGATTATATGACGTCGCAATGGGGAAAGACGCTGAAAATTATCGTTGGCTCAGTAGTTGTAGTTTGAGCAATGGCGGACGAAATGTAGTGAGTTTTAATTAAATTTTTTTCGGACTTTTCTTGCCGCGATAGGTCTGAATTGTATTTTTTCTTTTCGTTTAGGATCTAAGCTTAAATTGTCGGCATAAAAAAATTGTTTTGAAGAATATCAATTTTCGTCTCAGTAGCACTTTAATATTGCTTTCACTTTTTATATATGTGTAAAAAATATATGAAAGCATTAATTACTTACCAGATCCCAGATTTTGTAATATTAAAGGAAAAATATTTTATTACTAAGATTACCCAAAATATTATCTGTATATATTTGGGAACTAAATTTCACTGCACTGTACTCGTTGGTTTTTTTTTTTTTCGGGGGGAGCTTGAAAACGAACGCTGGGACGTGTGTCTGTTTGCGGGTACCGGGCCATCCTCTCCCAGAAAAGTTTGAAATCTAGAGGCTCTCAGTGAGATATTTTCCGCAGGGTTTTTGTAGAAGGTTGTGGCTTTTTGAAATTTCTTCATTGTCTTTTTCTTTCTCTTTCAATCTTCACACGTACCTCATGCTTAAACAAAAGCAAATGTCGTTGTTAGAAAAAGTGGCGAAGCCCCACCCCCTAGTTCCGCAATCCCTGGTACTTCGCCGTAACGTGATCGAAGTTCGAGCACAAAAACTTTTAAATGACTTCATCAGACGTAAAGTTGACAGTGTTTTACAGGTTGTTCCAGATTAGCAAAAGTCATAGATCTATTAATCAAAACAAAATATCTCTTCGCTTTTTACTGTTGACAATTTTACAAAGTTTACACTTCTTTTCTTGCGAGGTTATTAAACGCGTATACTTATCGATTTTGATAGAAGTCAATCCAAAATAAAAGCTATTGTTATACTGTGAATACATTTCTTTTCAATTCGCAGAGGAAGTTTAACTTTGGCATCATGCTGTGATTTGCGCTGAAATAGGGCCAAGCGAATTGTAAACAAAGCGAGCGAATGGAAGTCAGCGAATGGGTTTCTCTAGAGGAAATTCAAAATAAATTATGTGCAAGAGAATTCCGAAATGTTTTGACTTGGCTCGTATTAAAGTCATTAAGCTATTTTTTTATACTTCGTTGGGTTGACTGAATTTCCTTTATTTCCGAATCACATCAGTTTTGATTATTCAAATGATTGTGAAAAATGACATTAAAATTGATTCATCGATTGGGCCCCCATAAAACGCACAACATCTCCTCTGACATTTTAACATCAGCTTTGTCAAACAAACAGACGTGCGGACATTACAACTAATAAATACAGTCGGAGTTCCGTTGGTCATTCCAACACGAAGCTCCTATAATTAAACCTAATTATCTACATTTTTTGTCTATAAAATGTGCCATATTATCGCGCACATGTTTGATATCCTCATTTATCTGATAATGTGGTACCCTGTAGCTAATTTGTCGTACCACAAATGAAACAAGAGGCAGCACTTGGCAACTTAAGAAATTAAGAAGTTCAAATACACGGAACTACGAGGAAACAAAACTGAAAAAAAACTCAAATACGTCTTTTTGAAGTAACACAGCCACTCACACAGATGTCTCGGCGGTAATTCCAAAAGAAAAAAAAAAATCAATTAAACAAAGCGTAGAAGTAAGTGCGCCTCGGGGCTGTACTATTCGATCATTAAAGTCCAGCTGTACTCCTTTTTTCACGTCCGTTTTGTTTCAAGGGTAAATTATAATCTTTATGGATACAAATGAAAGTTGAGGCTTTCGGTTTAGGTTTTCAGGGGGCAATTACTGCCTTTAGATCTAAAATGTCAAGCGAAGGGGGGCGCGTCAATGAGATGACGAACTTTCCTTCGCGTTCAGTGTCATAATCGATATTTTTCTTTTAAAATCTACATGAACAACTGGATTGGGACGTAGAGTAGCTGACGCTGTGCGAAAAATAAATGCTGCCTACAACTTTCTGTATTTCCTTCCAATTTTCAAGAAAAGGTTTTACAAGGTCAGTTGAGGATTTGAGTTAGGTCCCCCCCGCCTCCCACATCTCGTGGCGTGATTTAGGTTTGTGCATACTAATGATTTGTTGAGTATTCATTTTAACTGAACAACACCTATTTCATAATTACTCAAGATGGCAATTAAAAGCAAGAACTGATAGCTCGTCATAAATCAGAAATTAAGTTTCGTAGTCATGTTTTCTTAAAGGCTTATAAATCAGGAATTTCAATGTCTGTAGTTTGCAACCTTTAACAACGCATATCCATTGTGGATGATTCAATTAGCGCCTGTCCGAAAGATAAACACGAATTAACCTTAAAATAGACAAGACTTAATCCAGTGTTTGTCCATTATATTGCATTAGCTTCCCTTGAGCCTTATTTTCAAACGTATTTTAACTAGTTTGAAGCACAGTGTTCAACTTGGTAACTTCAATAGCTTGTTGAATCAAACCGAGATTACCCAGCCGCAGCCTCGATGTAAAAGGGAAAAGCTTGGTCTTATTTGTCATCCAATTGGCGTCATTCGTTCCGCTTCTCCGCTGAGAATGTTAAATACTTTGCTTGAAGTATGCGTTGTCTTTTGATAACACAACTGCCGTGTCTCTTCCCTATTGTTGTAACTAACACAAACATGTCTTCTTGTCTTCTTAGTCGGCAAATCGGCTATTGTTAACCTTTGCATTGTTGTAAAAAAACAAGCCTCGAAAACGTATTCCTTTTGCAAAGTGGTCAATCTTTTCTACGAACTAATAACTGAGGGTTTTCGCGCTTCTTTATTTGTATTGTTCTCTTAAAAGCTATCAAACATCCGTTTCTTCTTGAAACTACTTCTGTCCGAGTTCACCATGATTTTCTTTGAAATAGCAAGCGGAGACAACAGAAGAGATTAACATAGACTAAACTTAAAACACCTTTTCGCCGCTAGCCATATTTTTGTGAATTTCTTGTTCGCTTTTTGAATGGCAGGTGTCAGGCGAAAATTACAATGAAAGACAAAAAAGAGCTTTACGATATTTTTTCTGTGGACATAATAGCGACCGGAAGCGAAAAAAAAAAATACAATGGTGTCATTGATAGACGATGACCCGGAAGTGAACGATGATTTGATGAAAATTGGACGCTAGAGTTGTGCATAGGCATTCAGGCTTATCTCTCAAACAATCATGGGTGACTCGTACAACCTAGTCGAAAAAATCGATGCAGAGATGAAAACATTTCCCTGGAATTATCCAGATCAGTACGTCTTGTCGGAGTTTATTCCAAGTCCATGCAACTTTACAGGGTATGAGCAATTTCCAAATTTTCATTGAGATTTCAATTTGTGCTGCTGCTTATCTCTGCACTTGCGGAAATTTAGATCGCTTTTGCGCAGCTGTTTGCAATAATTTTGTGTTCCTGCCATTTCTTAGGGAATTCGAAGGTCCTTTGAAAGTTGAAGGTTCGGGTGAGTTATGTTGCCATTTTTTTTCCCCAAGATTAAATTAAAAGTCCTAAATGAATTCGTAGTTAAATTGTTTAAGCTACATCTGATGTCAAATCGTGCCCGTAAAACAGTTTGGATAATCCTAACTGAAAATCGTGTATGGTCTGATTGATTCAAATCCATTTACTAAAGATGGACTCATGACCAAAAGATTGTGAATCTGTTTTGATTATTCAAAGAGCAAATTTGTGAAAGCTTATGTAGTCAGTATTCAGGCTGTGAAATTCCTTAAATCAGACAGTTCTTATCAAAGATGGTACACATTTGTTACTTTACATCTCATCTTCTGTGCAATGGGGCTTTTTATCCGTAAATTCCAAAAAAAAACGGTAGCCAATATATTTACCTGAACAGGGAAGTAACTCCATGGCGTAAACACATAATTAGGCGTGCTCAAAACCACTTTGAACGAATATCGATTGATTCGTAAATCAGAGATTGTCAGGTTAAACAAACTTAATTTTAGTGAAGTCGGTAGATTTCTATAAAGGCAGCGAGACAGAACGAGTTTTGGAAAAATTCCCAGCAATGAAAATTGTCCCTTGTTTGAGAACGATTGTTACAATTCAATAGGTGTGCGGCAGTCTGAACAAACCGGTGTTTGATGAAATTTTTAATTCTCTCTACGATCTGTCACTCATTACTCATGATGTTTTTCCTTAGGACGCTTTCTTAAGTTGATGAGTGTTGTAATTCTCCTCATATGTTCATTGGAATTGCTGGAGAGAAAATAAGTTTTAATTTCAATTGCAACAAAGAACTGAATGGTCTGATGATCTTTTAATATATCTGATAACGAAAATTGGAACGCGTTGGGAACTTTTAAAACCTCTAGTCAATTAAATGACATGAGTTATTTCAATAAGTGAGCTTGATCGTGGAGCAAATGAAAACTCGAAGTGGCACCTTTGTGCACCTTAGTCCGTCAATATTTTCTGTGTAAATCAACTTAATTTTCAGAAATATTGTATGGGGAAAAAATTTAGCCTCTAGACCGAAAGCGCTTCTGTTAAGCAGTGTTCCTTTGAAAAAAAAAAAAAAAAACAGTTTCTCGCTTAGAGAGCAAAGCACAAGTTTCTTGAATGCAACATTATGGATAAACACATTTCAAACTCCGAATTCTTAGCAGCAGTAAATCAGTTACGAATTCTTTGAGTGTTGGCAGACAATACAGCTTGCTATGGCAGCGTTTGTTTCTAAAAGAAAGGTGCCTTCCCTTTGTTTGAACAACATATTACGAACAACACAGTGAAAAGTTTGCACGAATTTCAGAGCGTAATGTCTTCTGAAATTCGCGACAGCAAAATACTGTGGTTTAATTGAAATGTCAGTTAAATGTGGGTATTTACAAGGATTCTATCAAATTTTTAGATCAACTTGATACAGAACACCAACATGGAACAATGTTATACTCACACGATCCGGTAAGCAATGTTTCCCATGAAGTAACAGGGGCGTAGCAAGTCATTTTTGGCTTGTATGCCTGTTCCATACCTCGTAAGAATAGTGCGGAAGGGGAAGGTATATTTATTCCAAGAAAAAATAAATATTCCTAGAAAAGTTTGTAAACCCAGGCATACTGGCTTAAAGGGAGCTACGCACTTGAGTACGTGCTAAAACATTTTATTTGTTCAGGTCCCAGTTAGGCTTGAGTCTCAGTAAGGCCTGAGCTAGTGAAGAGAGCTCAGGGAGACCAAAGATTAAATATGATTTATTGGTTATTTCACCAACAACAAAGCTTTTTTATTAAAGCTGTTTATTTTCCAAGATATTCTTCAGTAACTATAACATATTTCTTCCATTCTGCTCGACATCTGAGAACGAAGACAGTTAATGGAAAGCAATAAAATGATGACTAGATAGAAATCGGGAGAGATGATTTTAATAGTGGAGTATATTTTTTTTATCTAGTGTAATTTTAGAGCTGCTCTAGAGAAGACGTAGCACTTGAAGTATCAACTTAAGTTGTAAAATATCTCCTGGAGAATTGTTCTGTATTTTCCTTTTACTCTATATGAGGGTCTCCCAGGGGAGATCCTTGTTCCCTTGTTCCCTTCCAAAATTGTCCTATGTTCCGGCATGTTCCCACACTGTTTCCTTATTTGTTCCCCGTTTAATAAATTCGCTTGCCACTTATCACCGCCCTCAATTTCCTCCCGCAAAAAAGAAAGACACCAACAACAAAACTTATAAAAGAATAGGAACATTTTATGAGACGTTCAATTTGTGTGACATCATCTCGAACAACGGTCTTTATTTCTTATATCTCAATATTTTCTCCTCTAATTTGTACAGTTTTGTTCCCTTGTTCCCTAAAAATAGGCTAATGTTCCCTTGTTCCCTTCAATATTTTGCCAATGTTCCCTTGTTCCCCAAAACCCCTGGCAGACCCTCCTATATAGTTGAACGTTTTTCAACTGAACCCAAACGTATCAAAAATTTTCATCTAAATTTGAGTTTCACAAGTGCCAGGTCACAGTGATTTTAGTAGTTAAGGAATTAACCCTGTCATGGACCAAATCTCAAAATGTTAGCTTCGCAAGAGAGAAAAACATTTGTATGGAGTGAATAAGCTGAAGGAACAAAAAAAAAAAAACTAGGATGGTTAACCCTGTAGCTCCCAAAAGTGACCGAGAAATGTCAATATGATATCAAACAGACAAGTGATGAGAATAAAGAAGAACATCAATAAGGGGATTATCAGTTGATCCAATACCAAATTCTCTGAACTAACATCATAAGAACTGTATGGCAGACAGTAAGGAGAATTACACAGGGGATCTTGGAAGTGAAAGAGTTATGGATGGACAAGATTGATACGCTATGCTAAGCAAAAATTCGAGTAATCAGACTGAAATTTTCAACATGTTAAATCGTGTCTGATCTCTTTTAGGGTACTTTTATGGATAAGTTTACTACATTTGATCAAAACAGAGCAGCACTTGAGGGGAAAAAATCAGCAACATATCTACAAGGGAAACATTCTTACAGTAACTGAGTAGCAATGCAAACATAACTGATTAGCTCTTTGTTTGGTTGTTTTAGCCTGAGGCCTTGATGCTCCCCACAGGAGAAACTGGAGAGTTCCCTGAATTCGCCGAGCCCTTGACTCCAAGGCCTATCAGCCCCAGGTTTCCTCCTCATGCTCTCATGAATTTATCTCCACCTCACGTGACGTCACCGAGCACGTGAGCAATGTCAACTATTTACTTGTATATCGGACATCAGATAGTTACTCTAGAACTTTATCTAGATCTTAAAAGTAAAGATTTTTCCTGAGTATCATTTAGTATTCTTGCCTCGAGCCTTTTCCATCTTTCCCACACCTTTCATTTCTCCTAGTTTTCACACTTCAGAAGTAAGGTCTTTTAGAAATTCTTCCAATAAGCAATAAAGTTATTCTTTTTGTTTTAGGAATGAGTTTCTCGGTGACTACAACTTCAGGATGATTCTGGAAACGCAGGTAAAACTTTGCTCCTGATTTGTGATTTCAGATCTGCAACTAATTCCAGGACCGATGTAACTCAACAGGTACAGAGAGCGTTTCATTTTCCGTCGCAATCTTGAGAGGAGTTATTAATCACGTCATTTTTAATGTTCTGTTTATAGCCAAAGAAAGTTGCCAACCCGGACTGGATTGTGAGTATAATTAATTACTTGGTTTAGATTTTGCCAGCGAATTATTTTCTTCATCAGTCAATCGATTTTTATCTAAAAAATATAGAGATAAAAAAGACAAATAACTTCTATTGTGAAAAGAGTTAATAACTAGGTTTGGGAGTTGATTGTAAATAGAGAATGTGTTGAAATTCCTAGACAACGTGAACACAGTTTTAATCAGGAACGTCTTATAGTAAAATGAAACATGAAAAGCAGGTTCTCGTTTCTCCGGTTCTCAGAAGATCCCTAAGTAGAATTTTCTATTTCATAATACTCGTTGTAGAAATTTTGATTTGTTTACTCTCCACCAAAAAACGCGAGCATGGTATTGTTTACAGTTACATGAGGTTTTTCGGTAGTTCTCAGTGACTCAGAAGAAGCTGTACATCAAGTCAAAGACGCCTTGCCCGGTTAGATTTCTCACCACAGGTTAGTGATACTGTTTTAAGAAACCAAAGTAGTAAATTAGCACTCTATTCGATCCTGTTTTTGTTTGTTTTTTGTTTCAATGTTTTATTTATTTATTAATGTAAATAAATATATCTTACTAGACGTTTTGTTGTGTAGTATCGCTGAGTATTTTTACGAGTTGTGCCGTATTTTGACGAGCCCGTAGGTCGAGTCAAAATACAAATAACTCGTAAAAATACTCAGCGATACTACACAACAAAACGTCTAATAAGTTATTTATTATCCAGCACGCTAAACTTTTATTTCAGTGCGGATGTTTATTTACGGGGAGTGCGTGACAGAAGTATGCGAAGAGAAACGGAATTGGCGCGTTGTCGTGTTGCTGTTTCTATTTTCTTCGATAAATGGAGAAATTTCCAGGTCGTTCAGNGTATCGCTGAGTATTTTTACGAGTTGTGCCGTATTTTGACGAGCCCGTAGGGCGAGTCAAAATACAAATAACTCGTAAAAATACTCAGCGATACTACACAACAAAACGTCTAATAAGTTATTTATTATCCAACACGCCAAACTGTTATTTCAGTTCGGGCGAATTTCGCGGATATTTATTTACGGGGAGTGCGTGACAGAAGTATGCAAAGCGGAACAGAATTGGCGCGTTGTCGTGTTGCTGTTTCTATTTTCTTCAATAAATGAAGAAATTTCCAGGTCGTCTAATTGTTTTTCTTCGTTCAATTCATCTATTAAACTTGGATGTATATTTGCCAGCCATTCTAACTCTTCGTCGTCGGAAATATGATACAAATTGTCCGCCAATTTTTTTTTCGCTACTACAATTCAATTCTTTGCTTGCGCGATGCGAGAAAACCTGTTTAACCGGTAGTACAATAGACGAGTACAAATACCGCGTGATATTTGCACTCGTCTATGGCGTTATTTGTACTCGTCTAGGTGTAGTTGGATAATAAATGTACGTAACATGTTTGGCCTATCTTTTGGTACCCAGGCCCCCCGCCATCTGGTGCATTTATTCGCGCTATGCCTGTGTTCAGACAACCCGAGCATGCCAAAGATGTGGTACGCTGCTGTAGAAACCATACCGCAGAACACTCAGGTAAAAAGAAAACTACTTCTAATGTTCTTGGGGTCTGGAAGAAGTTTCAAATATTCTGAAGGCTTTTTCAATGACCATGTAAACATCACAAAGGGTCAATGATGACTTGAAGCACTTAACGCCCCACTTTCAGCGCGAGAAAAACACAAAAAAATATTGGACCCAGTTAAACTATCTTTTCCAGATTCCTCTTAGGCAAAAATTACAATGGAAGAAGTAAGTTAGAAGAGTGGAGAGGCGTGAACTGTTGTTTAAACAAACTTCCTATTTTGCCTTAGGTTTTTTAAATTCTTCACCTTGCTGCGTTTGTTTCTAGGCCCAGCGACGGGACATTTCCTCCGCTGTGACAACCAAGAGGCTGAGTACGAAGAATGTCCTCAGACCACCAGGCACTCTGTCAGGATACCGCTCCGAGGACCAGCTTCAGGTTAGCCTCGGTTGTTTACTTAATATTGGAAAACCAAAACAGAAGTGATCCCTACAGCCACTCAGAGCAAATAATAATATCTTTAAAAGTCAATAAGAATTTTACATGTATAATTGTCAGCTGTCTTATACACGGGTAGACGCGAACGAGAAATTCCCGATTGCCTTTGAGTTATGCTTCTTACTGGTTGTAACGCGTGAAAATTGAAAAATGAAAATGAAAAACGAAAATAGAAAATTAAAAATTCAGGTTCCCAGTGACAGTGTGGGTTATCTCGGTTTGGCTGTATTTAGTCACTTTTCAGTTCCAACAAGATCTAATTGAACATCATTATTTTCAGCTGACGACACAGATGACCTCGGAGTTCATGAACTGTTCTACTTCATCTGTAATAACTCCTGCGGCGGACTGAATAGGAGACCAATTCAAGTCATCTTCACCTTGGAAGATCTGTAAGTTATGGGTCGCATGTTTTGAAAGCGTAAGTGACAAGGATATGTTAGTCTGTTACAAAATTTTTTATAAAAGCCCTATCAAATTAATAAAAAATTCAGTGTTATTAAAATGCGCTACGTTAAAAAATTTAGTCATTATTAGAGTGATAACGGACCCCTTAAGATCACGAGGATTGACAAGATTACGGCAAAGTGAACAATTCAAAATTTTTTAGACTGAATTTGTCAAGAAGTGCAGGCTACGACACGGCTTATTTAAGTAAGTCGAACATTCTATTCTGTTTGTTTTTAGAACCGGCAGCGTAGTCCTGGGGAGATGCTACGTCAACGTTAGAGTCTGTGCATGCCCAGGGCGGGACTCGAACCAAGAAATTGAGGCGATTAACCGTCCAGGCAAAAGGAAAAAGCCCAAAGCAAGTGAGTTGGTAAACATTAGCTTAGATTCCTTAGCTTAGATTCCTTAACTTAGATTACAATCGATTTTAGGCGTTAAAAGCATTTTCGGTATATGGAGTTAGAATTCTCGAAAAAGCCGACGGCTCGTGATAGGTCCTTTAGTTTTACCAGTTACCATACCTTGTAGTTTTCAAATAACCTGACTTTAATTTGATAAGGTGATTTTTGATTTATCATCGTGACGTTAATAACAATATAATTACACTTGCCATTCAGGGCATTGGTACATGTTACAACGAGCCTGTGAGAACTCAAAGTAAACCCACGCCAGAGGCGTAAAGCGCGGGAAAAGGCGAGCGGGAAGTCGCGCCTGGCCATTTATGATTGGTCGGCGCGAAGTATTTAAACCAATCAAAGACTTGAGCTAAAACCAAAGCAATACTGGATTGGCTTCGGTTTTCTGTTACAACTTGTTCAAAATAACGAGAGACCATTTTTAAATTTTTTTGTAGATGGAAACGATTTACAGTGCTTCGGCTCTAAGATGTCCAAAGAAGACAGCACAGTTTACAACCTCAAGGTAAATTCGGCGTAAAAAAAAAAAAAAAATAGGATCTTTGCGTTTGCACGCTCCTTTTTTTCTCTCTTGCTACATTTCGTAACGTGCTAAGTTATTGATTCATAAGCTCATTAGGTTGTGTGGCATCGCTGACCGTTTTCCATGTTTTTAGATTTGTGGATTCAACAATTACCTGATGATGAAGAGGATTGCCATTGCACTGGAATTATTTGCAAACATGGAAAACAAATTGTGAGCGCAATTTTCGATTATTTATTCTTTCTCTCTCTGAAGCATCTCTTTGGTTTGTGTCACATCAAAACACAATTTACGGTTTTCTAGAATTAAAAAGAAACTTGAAACCATAGGATCTTGAAAATTATTTTGTCTCTCGATCTCGGGCTTTCAAGAAATGTGTTCTTTAATCAATTTTTCGGGTATAGATTCGAATTCTGAATCAAATGTTATCATTTGATTACGTATTCCGTCCGCGAGTTAAAAAGATCTGCCAAAAGAAATGGATGTTAGCACGCAGCATGGAACTTTTCATGCGCCTTTGTCACGTACAGAATTCCGCGCGACGCGCTAACGTCATTTTCACCTTTTTTTTCGCTGATTTTTTTACTCGAATGACAGACTTCACCGATGAGGAAGAACTGCTCTTTGTCTATTGTATCAATGAATGAATGCACTAATGAACAAGTACTGCTTTTTGCATTTTTCTGACAGCACTGCCATGGAACCGCAAGATTTAGAGATGCCACATCTCACTGAATACACTCCTGAGGTAAATTCATTGGCAGAGACATTTTGATGGCAAACGTTTCTCAATCTTGGCCTCTTCCAAGTGTTAAGTTAGTGAAACGAAGCGCTTTAGTCAACGGTACGACATGGTGGAGGAGAGGAAAGGCGAAGGAGGTTCAATGAGCACGAATCGACCCAAACCCTCTCGTTCTCGCATTGTGGCTAGCGCCGTGTACTATTTCACTCCGTTTTACAAACTAAATAGGTTTCCTAGACAAGGCTATCTCAAAGAAAGAGTCTGGAAAGCTATGATTCTACCATAAGTCATTAAAAAAAGAAGCAGAAATTTAAACGCAAATTTACCCGTGACTACCTTTTTCAATTTAGCAGGATCAGGACAATTCAGAACCGGACTCCACCATAGTGAAGTAAGTATGCGAAGCAAGTACTTATTATTAATGCCAATTTGTAAGCTCGGAGTGAAAAGAAAAAAAAAATACAGAGTTCGATTTAAGGTAGAGGGAAAAGTCTACCTAAGAGATTGACTCAAACGCCCACCAAAACTAATTAAACCACTGAAAAGGGGGTAAGGTTCTAAAGAAACTGCGGTGCTACGTCGGTCACGGGGAATAACAAGGTAATTTTGGTTTTGTTAACTGAGTTGATAATGTAAATTGGCCACCGTAACAGCCGGAGCGAAGGGCTAACGCTAAAAACATCAGCTTTGAGACTCTTTACAGTGTCAATTTACATTATTAACACAGTTTATAAAACCAAAATTAGCTAATTAAACCGCTAGTTGCAGTTTTCATTTACACGACCGCTCTGGCCCGAACCAGAGCCTCTCGATGAGGAGTCCAACCCACTAACCATTAATTAAGCCACTGCATCTTTGCACTACAAACCTTGTTGGTCACGTGTCCTCCCCGCAGGTCGTCGTTGAACGAGTCGCCTCCTCCACCAATCATAGTCAGCCAGGAGTCCTACCTACATCCAGTGCACTCGGAGAACTGGTACCCAGCCACACCACAAGATCAAGACGTCCAAGCGCAATCCCAGCAGTACCCGCAGCAGTGCTACACGTATCGCCGTAAAACGATTTCTGTTGTTACCTTTACTGACGAAAAAACTGATATGATACAATGCGAGACAAAAGCAGATCACGACCGTGAGATAAAACTGGCATAAACTTTGGTAATAAAGCAAGTACGATTTCGGAAAAGTGAGTTATCATATTCTAAGGAGTGTTTCAAGTAAGAACGATGTTCCGAGCGTACCAACTGGTCTCTGTTAGTTTCTATCATTCTTAAAAGTAAGTGCAAGTTTTTCGTCTAAAAATACTGCGCTCAATAAGACTACCACGGCAATATTCAACCGACCGAAAGGCATCCGACAATGACAAAGCACTTTTAACTCTTAAGATCTGACTGTTAATTCTCCCCTCTAACTGCTAGATAAATCCTTGTAAATTAGTTACGAGAACGTGGTGTTAGATCAAGATAAAGACTTCTACCTGATAAGTTTGGGTATTCTCATTACCTGTTTGCTAAATAGTGTAGGAATATTATAGGGAGAAGTTACATGTTAATCACTTCTGCAAGTTAAAGGGTTTACTTAAAACAGTTAGTATAAGGAGAAAAAGATTAAAGAAAAAGTTATCATATTTCCAGGGTGGTACAAGCTTGAAGAAATATATATAAAGTAAGTAACTGACTTCGTTATGAAAAAAAAAGCCCAATGTAATTGGGAAACTTCTTGTAAAATGTACAAAAAGTATAAAAAGAAGCACTTACTATGGCGGAGAATCAAGGGAAATTTGAAAGAATTGTAGTTTGTAGTGTAAGGAGTCGGGCAAGATTAGATTGAATATTTTTGTATGGACCATTTATTTGCAAACTATCTAATAAAATTTGGTGTTTTCTGTATATTCTGTGTTCTGTATAACCATAGTTCCCTGTGACGGGGAAAAACGTATTTTTAAACATCTACCAAGTGAAGATAAGGAAATAGTTTACTTTTCTTGAGAATTGCAGCCGATAATTTTATTAAGCAATCTGTTCTGTGCACATTTTTCAGCTCGTATCGTCATTTCCTCTCAGGGTTGAGTTCTATTCGAAAGTAATTAACTCATAACCAGGTTCTACCTATATGGTCGGTCATGAGAGGCCTGGGAACGAGTGTTCATAAGTGCACAGCTAAAGTAACATACACATAACGATGAAGATAAAATATTATAAGTAGGACAGCGAGATGAGATTTTTTTCCGCTCTAAGTGAGACCATGTGACCCCAGGAAGACACTTTTTCGATGTCGCCTTTCATTTCGGTCTACCTAGAATACCGTATTTGCTCGACATAGCGCTCGGGCGCTCATTTAAAGTTATAGCTGAAAGTAGGGGCGCTTATTGGAATGAAAGTACTTGTTCGAAGGGGGTGCTTGTTAAGTTTTCCTTTCGACGAACTGTAATTTTATTTTGGCTAAACTCTTTGAAAGAAAAGCAACTACAGCGTTCAGTCCACAATAGACGTAAAGTCACTATGGAGTTAAAAATAACCAGAAGTGACTTAGCGAAAAAGGAACTATTCCCTGTACTGAGTCCGCTGTAGTTAAGGCCTAAAATGTTATAAATAAATTGGCAATAGAAACAGGTGTTCCTTGTATCCCTACTATTTAAGAAAGTGAGGGAGGTGGGGGCACTTATTCCCGAGGGGCGCTTGATTGACATTATGGCATAGGGGAGATGGGCACTTATTCAGGGGACAATCAAAATCACCTGTCAATGTCAGTCAAATTTTGACTAACAAGCGTATCGTAGAGTTTCCATCAAAAAGAAATTCTAATTTCTTAATTCAACGTGGCGACCAACGCGCGTAGAAGTGAAGACCGCGGCTGTTTACTCTTTTTCGCGCGTTTTGTTTTCTTTTTGCCCTTTTGCTGGAACCTTTCGGCGGCCTTTAGATTCTAGAACTAATTCGACTTCAGTGAAAGAGTAACGTTTAATGATTTCTCATGAAGTTTTTAGCCAAAAACCTCGAAAATATAAAACCTCGTAAGACTTCACCGCGAGGAAAAAACAATGGCATCGAACAAAACTGAATTAGTTCGGAATGGAAAACCAAC